CGTGCGTGCGTGCGTGCGTGCGTGCGTGCGTGCGCGCGCGTGCGTGCGCGTGCATGTCTGTGGTTGTATGTGCATCGTTAATGGTTAATGAATGTGACAGTATTATTATGATCTATTCTCTGTGTTTAGATGGTTTATATATAGACGACCAATTCTTTTGAGGCTAATTTGATTTTAAATTGTGCAAGCCTGTAAATGTATTTCACGATCTCACGTACGTGTAACTTGTACAATGTATTTCATGTACACACGGCTTCATGTACACACGGCTTCATGTACGGTAGGTACATAACGCATTGCTGTGATATTTTGTAGGTAACGCCAGGTTACCCGAACACAGCCTGACATCAGGAGTTACATTCCTAGCGGAAATACCGCGCACCGGAAGCGGAAAAGCACTACGCCGCGTCCTGAGGCAAACAGCGACTGAAACATGAACAGCTAGAACATAATAAACATGAACAGCTAGAACATAATAAACATGAACAGCTAGAACATAATAAAATTCCCGGATAACTTTGCTTGCGTTAATGTTCATCAGCACGTTAATACTAAATTTTTATAACTATTAATTTTTAATTACTAATTTTTATAACTTTAATACTAAAGTTTAATACTAATTTGACGAGTAATACTTTAACACTATTAATTTTTTCCACTGACTAAATGATTACGGTTTCTATTAAAAATGCTACTTGTTCACGCGATGTTGGTTTTAAAGCCTATAATGTTTCTCTAGTGTCAGCTATTTGCTGGTTAATGCCTACTAATCCAGTGAACAAGAAACTGAAGATCTTAGCCTGCGTCTATACACATACAGTACCTCCCATACTATTACGCAATCGATAACGGGCGTGCATTGTTCAAACATATTTTAAATGTGATGTTAATCCGTGAGCTATTCGGTAATTGTGAATAAAAATCCATCACCTAACCAAAAGAACAATTAACCGAAAGGTTGCGTCTGTGAATTTATACAATGCCTACACTCTATGGGTTTTATTCATGCGACGATAACGTTAATAAACTCGGACATAATGTACAAAATTAATACACAATGCAAATGTTAGGCACAATATATTAGGCTAACACATTATGCAGACAATGTTACCGTACGTTTAAAGGGAGCGTTTACTCTAGGTTCTAGGGTTATTTTCAGCTGATTTAGGTTATAATTACGCTACATAAAATGTTTCATGGTTCAATCCCCATTAGAAATATTTAAAACTAGAGCACTCGGA